CGTATTTGTTTTTTTTTTTTTTTTTTTTTTTTTGTTTAAAAAATAACACTGAATTTCGTTCCTGTTTATCACAATAAAAATTCTTTGAAAATTTCTCCTTCGATGAAATTATCATTATCATTACTATTAGCATTCCAATTAAAATGATAAAAGTGATAAATACAATCAAATGTTAGCAAAAATCAATAATATTTCTTTATTCCACTAAAATTTTATCAATTTTATTGTTAATAATAAGAAAGAAATTGATAACAGATACAATGGAATAATGCATAATTGTTGTAAATAAAATTACAAATAAATTTGAAATGAAATAATTTTGCATTAAATCATTTAAATTAATTAAAAATTTGATAAAAAAGAATTGATAAAACAAGAAAGAAAAGAGAGAGAGAGAGAGAGAAGAAAAAAAAAAGGAAATTGTTATTATCAGAAATGATTAAATAAAAAATTGTTTTCTTACAATTTCTTTCCCATTTCTTTAATCATTTCACCTGAAAATTTGATTTGCTAGATTGGAATATTCTCTTTAATTTATTATCAATCATTCTATATCTGCTTTAAAATCAATTCATATCTATTCGTTATCATGAAATGAGAAAGATATGAAGAAAAAAAAAAAAATTGAGCTAAAATATAAACTTGATGTGATTACTCGTACTTTTTTTTTTTTCATTCCTTTTTAAACTGATAACTGATAATTGATAACTGATCAAATGAAATTTTTAAGATTAATGGATGATTTGATGGATAACTTTTTGAAACATTTGCACTCAATGAAAGATTTTCATACTTGGCTCATTTAGAGTTATCGTTCCACTTTTTCATTCATTGTTATTAAAAGTTTAATTAAATTTAATTTAAATAATTTACCGCTTTCACCAAGTATTTCACCAGCTTTTCCAACCAATTCAGCTGCCGCTTCTTTCGCACTATGACAACCTTCCTTAAATTTTTTGTCACCTTTCATCTGAAATGAAAGTAAGAAAGGATCGGAGGTGTAAAAATATTTAACAAATTGAAAAGAAATCGAATTTGCCGAATGCTTCATTTAAAATCTAAAAAAGAAAAGAAACTACAATTTCAAAATTTTCAAATGAAATTATTAGCCGTAAAAACAAATGCTAATATATTATTGGAATCATTTTATCATTTCACATATCGGTTTTGAATAACAATTTGTCAATCTCTCAAATGAAATATTCGATGAAAAATTGACAATTTGAATTGATAGTATTGAATTCTTTAATGAATCATTTAATTGTGTAGCAGTTTTATTAATTTCAATTTAATTACAAAGTCATACTTATTTGAAATCTAAAGATTATATTTTTAATGAAAAAAATTTTTCATTCTGATCTTAAAAATCCTTTTTTTTTCATTTCAAACTTTTAATCAATGATATCACAATTTGTTTTATATTGATTCTTTCATTTGGTTTATTATTACAAATACTTTTCTAATTGATCAGGCAACTATTTTAATTTAATTAGCAAATTAATCAATTCCAGTTAAATTAGCTGAATCAATAATATATGCATATTCATTTACTTATCTATTATTAAAATTAAATTAACAAATATACATTCAAAATAGAAATGTATCAATTCATTTCAATCATATTTTTTAGAATTAAAAAAAAAAAAAAATCATATCAACAAACCCGATGATATGCATTATTTGTTGTTTTCTTAATCTTATCTACAGTATCTGATGTCAAATTTTTCGCCTTCTTAAACATTTTGTTCTGAAAAAAGAAACAAAATCAATTTTCATCTTAATTCAAAATTAATTTTCATCTTCAAAATTAATTTTCATCTTCTACAAATTGCAAATTTCTTCATTATTCAAAACTTTCATAGTATTACAAAAAATAATTTAAACCATTTTGAAAAGAATTAAATTACTTAATTCTGATAATTTGACAAACTAATTGCAATTATCACCTATCTTTAACTCCAATTATTACCTATATTATTTACAAAAAAAAAAGAGTTAATTTAAAATATTACCAGGGTTATGGTTATGGCTACTTTCAGTATCCGTGTGTCACGTGTTTTACGTGTTTCACGTACATTGCAAGGAATGAGAATAATCTTTTAATAAATTTCATTCTTTCATCTTGTATCATTCGAATAATTTTTCGTTTTTTTCTTTTATTTTTTGTTCATAACTAATTTTTCCTAATTATTCCGCTTAATTTTCTAAATATGAAAAAAAAAAAAAGAAAAAGAAGAGAAAGTAAACCTACAATATGGTGTTGGGTTGTCACGATGTTAATGATGCCAATACTGATTGATACGAGCAATTAATTAATTAATTAATTGACACGATTACCGGATTCCATTTTCATCAAAAAATTTTGTAAACAATGTCTTTTTATTACTTTATTTTATTTTGTAATTTTTTTTTTTTTTGCTCAACTTGTTTTCAACCTTTTCATTTAAAAATTATTGACATGACAAGAATGCTTAATCGTATGATTGGTAATGTGGCAAAGAGATAAACAAATATTTCATCATATACTGATAGAAATTCCATAAACAAATTTACCATTAAATCTGATATTTGTCTAAGTTGATATTTTTAATTGATCATTTAATTACTTCATTCCATTACTCGATAACTGATATTTGTCTGGTTTAAATTCTTTAATTAATATTTGTCGTAATTTTAGCATTAATATGTAACCATATAAATAATTTGTCATTACAATTAATTGTTTACGAATAATTATCTGATCTGATATTTGTCTAAATGGAAAATTTTTAATTGATCGCTTAATTACTTCATTTGATTACACCCATCCATTGATCGATAATTGATATTTAATTTAAATTCTTTAATTTGAATTCTTTAGTTTAAATTCTTTGATTAATATTTACCTTAATTTAATATATTTAATTAATAATAGCTTAATAGAAAAACAGTGGGTTTAATTAATAAAACAATAAACTTAAATTAATATATGTCTTAATTTAATTATTAATCATTTGATAGAAGCAAATGTGAACAATTTTTTAACGAAGTAATTTCTTTTTTTTTTTTTTTTTTTACTTTACTACAAAATTACATCACTTTTTTTAGAGTCTTAGAAAAAAAAAATAAAAAAAGTTTATTATTACAAGATTGATAGGTTGTATAAAGTAATGCAAGCTATTTATTGTCCTCTAATATCAAAAGTAATATTTTTTGATTGGTGTACTTAACATTTTAAGCCTTAATGTAAAAGTAATCACTAACGGAACACCATTGGTCTATGCCGGAACTTATATTTCACATTTAACAGAAAGTATTTTGGTTCAATTCCGGAAAAATACTTTTGCACTCAATATGAAACATCATTGACGAGAAATATTGCCCTATTCCGGAACTATTTTTGTGAGCATATACTTATACTGCTATGTAATTTAAAATTTTTTTTTTTTTTTGAATTGCAATTATTTTTTTACATTTTTTTTTTCGAACAAATTTTTTTAAAGTTTTTTTTTCCTTTTTTTTCCTTTTTTTTCCTTTTTTTTTTTTTTGTTTTTTAATTATTTTATTTCCTGAAAATTAACAATATTTGTTTACTATTACCATTTATAACATTGATATTATATGAATTTTATGAATACGAATGAAATTTAATGGAATATTATTAGTAATAAAATTAATTTTAAATTAAAGTTAATTGAAGTAAAAATTGAAATAAACAAACAAGCTGCTATAGATTAGCATGAATATTTTTTTTTGCTTTTCACGTTTTTTTTTTTTTTTGCTAAAATAATTTACAAAAAACTAAAATAATTTACAAAAAAAAACATAAAAAATACTTCTCATAAATTTAAATTCAAATATTCATGCCAATTTCTTTTTTTTTCCTTTCTGGTATGATTATTCAAATTTGGCATATTATTTCTATCTGTCTGATGGCTGATATGATAATACTACCATATTAATCGAAATCATTTAACTAATATGATAAATGGTACCGTATCCTATTGATAGTATTTTAAAATAAATTTTTTAACTTTCATTTTTTTTCGTTCCCTTCTTTTTTTTGTAACCATAAAATGTTTCTTTTCATTTAATTTGCTATTTTTATTACTTCCATTTTTTTTTTTTTGGTATTTCTTTTTTTGTTTCAATTTTTATTGCATTCATATAATTGTGTTGCGATTAATCTTATCAATAATCAGTTAAGATTAATCTTATCAATAATCAGTTAAGATTAATCTTATTAATTATTAGTTAAGATTAGTCTTATCAATTATTAGCTACAAGGCTTTCCTTCAATATTTCTTTTTCCTTTTTATTGTGTATTTAAAAATTATTATTAACCAAACAAATTGATAGAGAACCAAAAAGGATTCAAGCGATGAACATTTCCGCCAAAATATTTTTCTTAACTTTATCTTATTCGTCATCAAATATCAATTGGTTCATTAAGTCAATTTAATTAATGAATCAGTATTAAATGGAATTAATGGAATAAAATAAAGAAAATTAGCATTAATAGAATTAGCATTCTAATTATTGCTAATTTTGTTAGCACCAAAAATGCTATTTTAGTAAAATGATTAGTTTATAAGATTGCAAAAACGAATAAATTACTGTAAGCTATGGTATTTTGCTAATAAATGATTATTATGTACGAAAAGTACTTTTGAAACTTTACATTGTTGTGAAATTTATTAAATCTTAAATCTATTTAAAATGATTGATAACTTGATAACTGATAATTTATTAAATCTTAAATTTTTTTTTTGAAATGATTGATAACTTCATTTCTGCTTATTTTTACAAATGTTCATAATAAGCCATTGATATGTTTTTTATTTTCTTTTTTTTTGGTCAGTTATGATAACCTATAAATTTATGAGATTTATGATAAATATCGATTAATTGTAATTAATTAAGTTCTTTAATTTAAATCCAACATTAATGCATTTAAATTCATTGCATAATGGAATATAAATATTTATTGCGAAATTGTGATAATATCATATCAATTGATATGATTATAAATAATGTTGAAAGATTAAAACAAGCAATGAAATTTCTAATGTAATGTATAAACGAATGCTGAATTTGACGTCCAAATGACGTAACAGATAACGGAACGGAAATGCATTCCGGAATGATTGTATAACAGATGAAACGAAATCGACAAACATATTATAGAAGATGGTTGCAAAAAGTGGAATGACCAATGGATCATATGTATTTTCTAATTAATCAAACTAATAATATTAAGCTAATTACTTCAATGAATTGTCGTATGCATTTGAAATGTGGAAATAAAAATTTTAATGAATTGAATAGTTTTATCGGTGATATCATTATCAGATGGATTAGAAATAAACAATAACTTTTATAGTTGCAGGTGTTTCATTTTGTTTCAGCCAAATAGTTTGATGAAATTTAGCCAAGTCATATCAAATACATAATTGTCGCATATGTCACATGTTTAAAAACAACTTCTCACAAATCTCTCATAATTTTGATGTGTTATTTAAAAGAAGCGGCTATTCTGTAATTATAATGATATGGTTGAGCATTTAGCACTAATTAAACACTCCCCTAATTTGTGCTATTCTAACTAAGAAATCAATTAATAGAGATTTTAACTTTCGATCTAAAATGAATAATTTAATGAGGGATATAAATAATCATTTCTTGTCATAGCAATTAATGTGTCATGCAAAATAAATAGTGAAGAAAATTTGTGATAAAAAATTTCCTTCTTGATTTTTACAGTCTTTAAATTAAAAATAAATTCCAATTTTAAAAAATAGAATTTAACTTTTTCATTAAAATGACAATAAATGGGAAGTGTAATTATAATCCATCAGATTATAATGATCCCAGAAATTCCGATATATTTTTAACTTAAGGAAATGATTCAAAAAATAAATAAATAAAAAATTCGTGGTGAAAAATTTTTGTTCGTGGTTTTTTGCAGTCATTAAATTAGGAATATATTCTAATTTATATTAAACAAATATATATTTTCCAATATATATATATATATATAAATTTGTGAAAAACTTTGTAAATGTCTCAATTGGTAGTTTGTAAAGGTAATTAAAACAAAAATAATGAAAAAACGAAAACCAAAAATCATTTGCAGTTGTTTCGAATATTTATTAATGCTTGAAATTAAATTTATTTATTTATTTTTTTTGTAAAGAAAAATTGAACGACATTTTGCTATTTTTAACGATCGTATTAAATTAAAAAAAAAATGTAAGGATAAAGAATTTCATTCGTTGTAGAATTTATTAACGAAAAATAATTTTACTTTAATTTGACATATACAAATTTAATTTCATTTCAATGTTCTTTAATTGAAAATGGTTTTCTCTTAAAAAAGAAATTGAATTTTCGGAAAAAACTTTCATGTGTATTAATTAAAGAATTAGATAAAAATTGAAAATAGAAATTAGGAAATTAAAAAATAGAAATTAGAAATTAAAAAATTTCTTAAATTTCTCAACGACAACAATTCTATTCTACTTATACTTTGAAATCTATGGAAAGCGATTCTTTTTTTTTTTTTACTTTCCTTTTCATCGCTATTTGCAAAATTAAATGAAAAAATGTTGCCATTGTTATATTGTTGAAGAATAATGACAACAAATTACAAAGTATGATTGACTTTGCATAATCTTACCATAGGTAGATATGGCTAATTGTTTACTTATAATTAATTAATTTATATCCCAGTATGTATTATCAAATTAATTATTTAAATTCAAATTTTACTACTATTACAAAAAAAAAAACATATGTCATCATATTTCTTCACTAATCACTTGATATCTTTTTAACTTCAACCTTTTCAAGAAAAGATTAAAAAAGTTAAACAGTAAATGATTTAAGTTCCTTAATTAATTATTCAGTGTTCATTTTATTCGATCACAATTATCACATTATGGGATCGATATTTAATGATAACAAATAATTCGAGAGTGATAATAACATTCTGAGCTGTCATTTTTGTTTTCCCTGATAACATTAATCTTCAAACTTCGGATCAAATTTTTTCTTTTTGTAAAAATAATTATAGAAAAAAAACTTTTTGGTGACAAAAGTCCTCTCATCATTGTTATCAATAAAATTATATCCTTGATAACATGGAAAAAGTTGATTATTATCGATTGATTTAAGAATTTATTATCAATATTATTACGATTTATAAAATTCATTCCTGAATTTTTTTTTCAAATTTGTAACGTAAAATTAAATTTTATCGCTATTTATAAACAATATTCCTAAATTGCAATGAAATAATTCAAACGAGGAATGCTAATATGTTTTCATTATGAAAATATTAGAATTTTAAATTTCAATTAAGAAATATTTGTCATTTTCCATGACAACGGCTTTGAAGTGTTTCTGGCTCAACTAGGCTTATAGCCAAGATGCTTGTGTTCTAATAAGTGTAAGCAAAAAAAAAAGAACTATCAAATTTTTCGTCTTAACAACAATTCACTGGCTAATGATACTTTTCGTATCCCTTATTTGTTTATTTATTTATTTGTCTATTTGTTTGTTTGTTTATTTGTTTATTTGTTTGTCTGTTTGCTTTTAATTCCTATTCTGAGAAGTAACCTATTAATGGAAATGTATTTTACCTGCACGAACAATTGTATGATGTTGTTCACTCTCCTAAACTATGAATTTGATAATAAAGGAATAAAATTATTTCATAAAATATATCGCATTTAAGATTTCACATCAAATATATGAACTTAAAGATTGAATTAATTAAAATACAGGAAATTAATTTCATCTGCTCTATTATTGTTGCCGCTTTAATCAGAACAAAAGGAAAAATATCAGACAAAATTACTAATTAATCGAAATTGCTCATATTGATTACTTTTCCTATTCTATGATTGATTAACAGATAAAAGTGTATAATTGCAATAAATTAAAATTTAATAAATAAAGTTCAAAAATTGTACAATTTCAACTTTTGTTTTAAATTTTAATAATATTTTACTTTGCAAAGAAAAAAAAAGAAACATTAATGTAAATTGAATATTTATTTGTTAATAATGTCACAAACTTTTTTTTCAACTTAAAAAAAAAACTTTGCATTCAGTCAATCAATAAATCATTTTTAAACTCAGAAGATGCAAATTACCTGGATTACACCAAATATTATCATTCTAGTTGCAATAACCTGGAAAATGGATGATAAATATCGGAAATGAATGCAAGCATCGAAAAAATTAATGTAAAATTCGTATTCAAAAATTAAAATTGAATTAAAATTTGCAAAATAGAATTTAAAATTTCATTTTTTTCCACTTATTTATTTCAAATTTTGTTAATTTCTTTTTTTTCCATTGGTCTATTCAATACATTTAATGCGTAATTTATTTCGTTTTTTTTTTTTTTCTTGAAAGCAATTAAGGTAATTGAAAGGGAACATGAAGTAAGAGGAAGGAATGGATGTTTAAATTGATCAAGTTAACCGATAGAAGAAACATTTATTGCTAGTCATAGCCTAGTCAATTCAGGCTCTAGAGATGAAAGATATGTTGGCAAAGGTATATATTAGCCTAGTCATATTGAATGTTCCCCATAATATGGTTGCTATAGTCACCGGTATCTGAAACTGGTAAGCTTCACAGATTATGTGCAACCCCTTTTGTGCCTTTTGTGCCTATATATATATATATGTATCGGACATATGCGCAAATGTGTATATAAGCGCAAATATGTATATAACATATATTAGTTAATATTTCCTATAGGAATGTTTTTATTCCGGAATTGTTATATATTCCGGAAATAATTGTAATTGGTTATTGTAAATTGAATTTTTTATCATTGTATGGTATATATTTCTTAATATAGAGGTAATTTTTTTCTTTTTTTAATAAAATCTTCCAAATATATATCTATTCATTTTTCAATTTTACTTTTTTTTTCCGGTTATCCTTTCTTTCATTTCCTAATTTTTTTTTTTCCTTTTCAGATTAGAAAAAAAAAAAAAACAAATGATTGAGTTGATATTCATTTAAAAAAAGAAAAACAAGAAAATAAAATAAAAAAGATGTTATTAATAAATCTAATGAAATTTTAATGATTATTCATTAATTAATTGAATTTGACATTTGTAATGTAAAAAATATTGTATCAAATTTGAAAAGAAAAAAGTTCTGATACATAATGAAGTATCTTGATTTATTACTAAAAAAAAAGAATTGAAAAACTAAATTATTAAAATTTGTTATAAAATTAGAAATTAATTAACTTTATGTCATTTTTACTAATTGATTTTACAATTATAAATTTGCCAAACTAATTATTAAAATAATAAACAATTGAACGAATGATGTTAGCAATCTTTTGAAATAATACTGTTATAAATTAGAGGGAGAGAAGGATAAGGAGAGAGAGAGAGAGAGAGAGAGTGATCAAATTGTGATTATTATTTGTACAACAAAGTAACACATACATACTCTTTGAGTTTTTTAGTATTTTTTTTTTAACAAATATTTTAATATCGTTTTTATTAGCATATTTTATTTCATTTCAGGTTGGTTAAAATATTTGCTAACAATTTTAGCAAGTAGTAATCTGATTCAATGATACAAAATCATCAATATTCATTCATTCCATCATCATCATCATCATCATCATCATCACCATCATCATCATCATCAAATTGAACAATGGTACTTCATCATTTAAATATTCAATAAAAAGTTATTGGAAAAATGTTCGCATAGCTATCTTCATCATCGTCGTTGCCATTGTCAACAACACTATTGTTGATCATTATTATCCATCGTCATCATTATTATTGTCATTGTCAACAACATTACTGTTGATCATTGTCATCCTTCCTATTG